CCAGCATATACGGGCAACAAACAAACCCAAAAGGTGCGTCTGGATTTGTCTCTGGGCAAAAAAGTTCATTCCTTGCCTGTGACCAATGAATGTGCCAGTTGCCACCTCCGGGGTGTCTTGCGCCACAGCCAGGGCTACTCGGAGCCAGCAATCCGCGCCTTAGCAAGGCCATAGGCAAGAGGAGGGGTCAGAGAGGCTCGTGGTAGGGACCCCTGGGACCAAGAGACAGCGGGAGCTTTGCCCAGGATGCCAGGTGAGGGCGCGCGGGGCCACTCACCTGCTTGGAACTCCACTTGGCGATTTTTCTCTTTTTCCTCCTGCAGCAGCATGGAGTAGAGGATCCCGAAGGAGTTCTGGATGCCGAAGATGGAGCCATTGCACCAGGTGGCAGCGAAGACCACCATCCAACCAAAGCCACCCTCGGGGGGCTGGAAGCCGCGCGCAGTGCCGCGAGTCTCCACCGTGGGCGTGGGCTCGCGTTCGTGCACTGGCTCGGGCTCAAACTCCAGCTCCGGCAAGGGCGTGGGGTCCGGTAGAGGCTGGAGCTCTGGTTCGGGTTTAGGTTGTGGTACCAGCATGGGCTCGGTCTCGGGCTCGGGCTCGGTCTCGGGGCGACCCACCAGCTCCTGCTGTTCTTGCTCTGTCTCCTGCCAAGGCCCCTTGGCTTCCTCGCTCGCCGGGTTTTGCAGCGCCATCGCGGCGGGGGGACTGAGGCTGCTCGGGCCGGAGGAGCCGCTGGGTGGCTGGTACTTGTTTCTTCTGCTGCTGCTGCTGCTCCGAGCGTTGCTGCTACTGCTGCTACCTCCTCCTCCCTACTCCGCGCCCCAGCTGGCCAGCCTGTCCCGCGACAGACGGTCCCTCGAGCCTTCTCCTCCTCTTCCCGCGTCCAACCCCCCTCCTCCTCTCCCCATGTCATCTCTCTCTCCTCCCCCTCCTCCTCCTCTCCCCCCTCCCCACCTCTTCCTCCCTCAACAGGCAGCCGCTAGAGCCTCGCTGTTCTTACCAGCCCTTCCTCCTCCTCCTCTTACTCGCCTACCTACTCTGACCGCAGCTGCCTCCCCCAACTGTCTTTCCAAACTTCTGAATCCTGTTCTTTCTGTCCAGATACCCAGTGGAGTGTTAAAATGGAAAAAAGAGAGCACAAACTATCTTGTTCTCCTGTCCTCTCTTCCCCGTAGGCTTCAGGACTGGCATTAATTAACCCCGAGTTCCCAGGGAAGACTTTCCCTGCCCTTTGCTTCCACTTCGTCCTTCCTTACAAGCAGCCTGCAACTAGGGTGGCTCCGGGACCCCCAGGATGACAGCTGACCTGCAAGGGACCCCCCCCGCCCTCGGTAGTCCCTACTATATCCCCCCTTGGGCTTGAGGGGGAGCGGCCTGGGGGAGAGAGCCCGGGTCTCTGACGGAGAGTGGGTACAATTTTCTTGAGCCCCGAGGCTCAGTCCCCCATGGTCCCGCTCACTCCCGAGTCCCCTCTCTCCCCCCTCCCCCGCCCTTCCCAGAAAATCCCTGGCGGGGCTGGGCGGGGAGGAGGCGGCCCCACAGCGAGGCCCGCCCCTCCGGGCAGTCAATCAGGGCTTTGTTTGCGCCAACCTGGAGCCGGGAGAAGCAGCAGAGGGCCGGGTCTGGGCCCGGCCAGGGCCGGGTCGGGACCAGCGGCAGGGCCAGGAAGGGAGGGAAGTGCAGTGACACCGGAGGGGGCCGGGCCCAGGCGGGGGCGGGAGCCAGAGCTCAGCGTAGGCTCCTCCCCCCTCCTAGTCCTGGACGGAACAGCTTGGAGCCTGGGTGGGGTCGAGCCTCCAGTTGGGCAAGGGCCGTCCCGCCCCCGACATCCCGGCTGTGCTGGTCACTCTGGCCTCCGCCGCGGTTTTTCCGGCATTCGGGGCTTTGCGGGGCTGCTAGCGGAGGGGTGTCTTCCCAGCACCCACCGCCCCGTCCGCCCAAGAATGGGGCACTCGGGCATCCAGACGTGGGAGTTCCGCTGAATGTCCCAGGCTCAGGCCCCAGCCCTGCTAGGGTAAAGGAAAGTTTTCTCCCTGGGGAGCGGGCGAAAGGTGGTGGTGGCGGG